CACACACACACACACACACACACACACACACACACACACACACACACGTTAATACTGAACATCCTTGTGAGGTCACTTCTTGTCGGGTCACTTCCTGTGAGCACCTTCAGAACAGCTGACGTGTTGACATGAACCAGTCGAATTTCAGACAGGATCGTCTTCCACACCTCTGACTCCGCCTCCCTGTTTGGGATGTCCTGAACAAACAAACAAACAAACAAACAACTTTTCAGTAAACAGATGGATCCAGAAACCAGATTCAGAGATCAGCTGGACTCACCACCCTCCACAGGTTCTGGGCCAGCATGGAGACGTTGAAGTCCACGTATCCGGACACTTCCTGAGCGTGAGGACTCATGGGTGCTGCCACGTCGTGACTGCGGCGCACCCAGAAGGAGGAGAAGGAGAAATCAGCTGTTTCTGCCTCAGATAGTGTCACAGTAACAAGATGCACCTAGAAAACTACAAATCCCAGAGTGCATTTCACCTACAAACCCACGACTGGAGTTCTGATTCTGCACCGCTGAACCACCCAATGCAACAGGAAATATGACATCATGTCAGGTGAGATGTTTACCTGTTGAGGAAGCGCGAGGTCATCCCGTGAACCAGCTGGATGACATCACCATGACGGACAGGTCGGGGGGGAGTGTCGACCACCAGATCCTGTCTACACCAGAGACCAAACACCTGTTAGACCAGAACTACGACTTCCAGCAGGCCCCAGGACAAACAGGTGACCAACCTGCCCGGATGTTTGACGATCCACCAGTTGTTGACGTCTTTGAAGGGATAACAGGTGACCTGTTGCTGGTGCGAGCTGCCCCGCCCATTTTCATACCTGAACACAGGAAGTTATGAAACACAGAGTCTACCTCAAAGGTCTCTGATTGGCTGAGGGTCACAGTGAGGTGGCAGCACCTGATTGGGTAGTTGGCTTTGTGAGAGTGAAGCCAGCAGGAGACCGGCTGGGAGGCGGAGCTTCTTAAAGTCACCTGACTGCCGTAAGCAACTTCCAGAGGTTGACCCTGAGTGATCCTGGAGAGACCCCCCTAAAATAATCAATCAGTCAATCAGTCATTGATCACAGCAGCATCCTAAAGAACATTTGAACCCGCTGAAGAACCTGTAGAACCACCTGTACGGGTCCACATGCCCTTCAGGAAGGTTCTGTGTGGGTGTGGCTACCTGCAGACTGGCTTGGAAGGCGGAGCTCATCAGCTGGTCATGTGGTCCGCTGCGGTTCAGGAGACTCAGGTGAATGTAGAACCAGAAGACGTAGAGCAGAACTGGAACCAGCACCAGACACACAACTCTGCACACACACTGAACACACACACTCAGCTGCAACAGAACAGGTTCTGTCAGTAAGAACCGGGTCACAGAACCTTCCAGAAACAGACCAGCACAGTCTGAGCAGTCACTCTGATCCGAGCGCGCTCAGCGAGACGCAGCACTCACATGACTGACAGCTCGGTCTCCAATCAGGTTCCAGGTGTGCACAGAGGCCACGCCCACCAGCAGCAGGTAGGAGAACACAGCCATGTACTTCACCCTGACAGCACATGTTCAAAACATGTTAAAACATGTATGAGTCAGGTTTGTGTTCCAGATTACAACAAAGACCATTTCTCACCCGACAGCCGCCGCACAGGAAACGCCAGAGAGGAGGAGCCAACCATACCTGGACCAGGAACTGAGGAGGAGCTTCACATGAGAGCAGCTTCATACAGGTAGACAGGTGTAACTGCATCACCCCCCACCCCTGTCAGGGGAAGGCTCATACACAGGTTAACACTGTACAGGTGAACTTACCTGTTGGGGGCGTTGTAGAAGCGCAGGTACGAGAACAAGGCCAGCAGCACGAAGAAGATGAGAACCGACTCCAGTAACATGAAACGTGATTGGACGATCAGAGCGTTCTCTGAAACGGTGACAAACACAGAACGTTCAGAAGGACAACAGAATGTCCCACACTGCTTTGAGTCCCTGAACATCCCACTCTGGTTTAGGTTCCAAATCCTCCCACGCTTGTCTGAGTCATTGAATGTCACACGCTCCTTTGAGTCCCAGAACGTCCTACGCTCATTAAACCCTCAGGTTTTAGTTTTTGGGTGTACAGTAGTCCCTTTCTACTTCGCAATTCGGATTTTGCGGGCTCGCTCTTTCGCTGTTTTTCAAAGTAAGACTGTCCATGAAAAAATAAATAAATTTGTACAGGACACATTATTTAACTTTAATATAACTCACGTGACTGGGACAGAACTGGATACTGTACAGTAAAAAGTTAACAAAAAAATTACAGTAAATAATTCAGAGAGGCGCCGCCATTTTGTAGTTTTCTCTGAATAAGCCTACACTGTATCCCCGCTCATAACGACTTCATTTCCCAGAAGGCAACTGGGCCCCGCCCAGAAGCCCCATTGCCTTCTGCTGAAATACGTAGAGGGCAAGTTTTGATCTGATCCGAAAAAGTTCGGTCCTTATTACAGTGACTTCTGTGCCCAGCAGATGCAGAGAACTGCACAGAACCAACCAGGAACCGAACCAGAACCGGAGTAGAACCAGACCTCAACACTCATCGGTCAATCTGAGAGCCGCTTGCCGGCCCACAAGGACTTCCGAGTGGGGAGGCGCTGCCGTAGGTCCGGTGTTCTCTCCGAGCCCACCGGGACCTCCCCATCCAGATTTGGGCTCAGTAGGACCATCTTCTGGTCCCGTGTTGGTCATTCAAAGATCCGGCTCCCTCCAAAATGTGATTCGGTGCTCATGGGCTGCACAGAACCAGAGCAGAACCGGCAGGGTAGGTCCACTGGACCAGAACCGAGCTGCTGTTTCTGCAGAGCTGGTGAGTACAAAGGTCTTACTACTCGCTCAACTTGAGTGAATAAACTTTATCAAGAGATCAATAAACTCTCGCTTTAGTTTAGTTGATTAAATTTATTAGTTGACTCAACTGTTTTGGTTGTTTCAACTCCGAAATCTACGTCAATTCTTTTTTGAAGAGTTTCACTTACTGTGGCGGGGCAGGGGGGGGGGGGGAACGTAACCCCTGCAATAAACGAGGGGCTGCTGTAACCACTCACCTTGTCAGGACCAGTAAGACCTGTGGGAATCAAAGATCAGTCCTACTATGATGGAACGTCATATTTGAGTTAATGTCGCCCTGAACAAAGTTTAGGTCGGGGTTAAGGCCGCACACATTCTGAAACTGTGTGGATCAGAGTTCTTTAGTGTAGAATAGAAATACAACCTTGTGACTGTGTGTAAACTCTCACCCAGCAGCAGCAACAGTGCAGCTCCCAGAGCCGACAGGTGGGAAAACTTCAGCTCCAGTGTCAGCAGGTAAACCAGAGGAACACAGAGAGCTCCACAGAGCGCCGGCAGCAGCCGCAGACTCCACACGCTCACACCGCCGGGGTACTCTGTGACACAAAGCAAACACACCCGTTACCCACTTTAAACAGAAGTGAGTCTGTCCTGCTTTCAGCTGGCTGAAACCAGTTTCTTGGTACCTGCTCCAATTCGGTTCCACACAAAATTCCCATCGAAGCCCCCCCAGTATGCTGGAACAATAAACAGGAAGAGCCGATGAAACTAGATGTCTGACACAAACACAACTATAGTGTCACAAACAGTTGTCATGGTAACAACCTCCAAGGGCCAGGATCATGTGACCAAGTGGAGGTCCGCTGTCATCGATGAAGAAGACCCTCTTCATGTAGAGAGACACGAACTGTCCGTAGTACACCTCATCGAACCTGCACGCAGGGACACGGATGAAATCGGTCAAAAACACAGCGGAGTCTGGTGCAGCAAACGCGTTATCGAACTCACACCACTGCATTTGGGTAGTTCAGGAGGCTCAGCCTGGTCCAGAAGGCCAGCAGAGAGACCAGAACCAGAACCAGGTCCACCTGAGCTGTCACCACCAGGGGAAGCGGCAGCATTACGGACACCTGCGCAGGTGACAAATAAATAAACATTAATCAGGAGGTGGCACCAACATCTTCACATCTGACCCTGTAATAAACAAGGCAAAGAGAAGAAACACCGCTGTCCCTGAACGTCCCACACAAACCGAGGCAGAGCAGTGTGAGGCGTTCAGGGACAGTGCAAACTCGTAATTTTATTCAGTGAATGAACAAGTTTTAAACATTTTAGCATAAAACCTATTAGAATGAACATAAACGTTTAGCAGATCCCAACTTGATTTAAAAATAATCTTATGTAGGTTATTTACGGCAGTTTTCCGATACAAGTTATGAAAATGGACCGGATATAAGATAGAACTTCCCACAGGAAATTGTTGTGCCAGAGTTTGTTTTTATTTAATAACTGCCTGGATCTGACTAATCTCTGGAACGAAAGCGGACCCTCTTAAGCTTGTTGGTAATTATTGTTGTTGTTTATTTGTATTCAACACGTGCACCCGTAGCAGCCTCGGTCGGTGGGTAAACGGTGAGAAAAGATCCGGTTCGGTTCTGTCCGAAACAAAGTTTGGCTTTTAGCATTAGCCTGCTAGCATGCAGTTCTCGCGAGAGTTACCTCCGGTTCCGCAGGCAGGTTCGGAGGTGTGTGGCTCATGGGCTACAGTCACTGACGTGTTTTCACTCCGGTGACCCACAAGGTTCGGTTCTGCTGCTACGACTGGTCTGGAGTCAAGGTGAGTCCGTTTCACTGGTGCTGCTGACTGGTTCAATCCGCGCTCCGCTGCGTGACTTCGGGTTACCATGGAAACAGAGCCGAAACCACACGAACAGTACCGAGCAGCTTGGAGCATGCGCACATGGAGGTTATCGCTTCTGAAACCAGCTTTGATGTAGATGTTCATTACTACTCAAATAAAAGTCAGTAGCATCTTACTAATGAAATATAACTTCACATTAAAATCCAGAAGAAATAGAAACTATGAAAAACATATATCTTTTAAAGTTTTATTTGTTGAAATACCTCATTTCATGAATGCTTTTAAAAAACAGTCTATCCATCCATTATTTTTACCTGCTCCTTCCTTTTTGGTTCACAGGCGTCACTGGTGCCCTTATCCAGCAGTCACTGTGCAAGAGACGGGGGACACCTGGACAGGTCTCAGTCCATCACAGGGACAAACAACCATTCACTCTCTCACCTAGGGACAATTTAGAGTTACCAATCAGTCTAACATGCATGTTTTTGGTCTGTGGGAGGAAACTGGAGCACCTGGAGAAAACCCACGCATGCACGGAGAGAACATGCAGACTCCACCCAGAAAGGCCTCTGGACAGGGATTTGAACCAGGGACCTGCGCACTGAGAGGCAGCATGAGCAGTTCTGGGTTTGGGTTTTGTATTCTGTTTATTGTATTAATGATTTAATGCAACAGAATAAACTAATTTAAAAGGTAACAGATCATTGTAATACTGGTTTATTGACAGAATGACTTTAACTGCTGGATGTCCGGCCCCTGAGCTGCTGGCTCTCAGTAACTGTGGCCCCTGAGCTGCTGGCTCTCAGTAACTGTGGCCCCTGAGCTG